TAAGATTAGGCAGTGTCTACAGACCTTTATTTTTTTTAAATGCTATCCTCTGGGGGTTTGATAATGTTTCTGCTACTATAATGTGTTCTTGCTTTGTCCAATTAAAATGCTGATGTGCATAATAAAGCATTTTCTGTGTCCTGTGTGATTTAGTGAAGATTGGAAAATATTCAAACAAGTATTCCAAGTGCCTATGGAAGTTTGATATTGTATTAGGTATTGAAGTGAGATACAAACCCAATCACACATTGATGGGTAAAAGGGGCATAGGGAACAAACAACTTGAATATTTGCCATTTAGATTGCTTTTAATGAAAGAAGTTGAACAACATTGGCTGTACACCTTTTGTTGTTATTGATGTGGTTGTACCACAGATAACGATGAGCCAGATGTATAAGGGTAATTCTTCAACTATGGTACTCTTTGAGCTAGACAGTTTCAGAAAATAAAAACATTTCTACAAACAATTTTTTAGTATCAGTTGGTTTCTCAATCTGTCTGGAAACCTTCCCTGAAGTTGGCTGTGATGATTTGTATTTACTAATATATATTTTTTGCCATTTTTATCTGACAGTCCAAGAAAACGGTCATTTCCATCACATAACAAAACATGTATTTTTAAGAGAAAATAATGAAATATCTTCTGTTATAAATATATTTGATTAAATAGCACACACATATCTGTTCAAATTTGTATTCTTTTTTTTTTTTTAAGAAATGTAACTGTAAAGATTTTACAATGTTTACACTAAAAAACACCTAAAACTAGGTCAATGGAACATTTCATTTTCTTATCATAGCTCAAAATCATATATTTCTCAAAGTGTATACACAAATCTTAGCCCTAACTGCACAAATATCAACACCACTGAATATAGTTGGTTTGATTGTATGTTTTTTATATGTTTTACTTTAAAATATGTGTTGTGGTGTAAATGACATGGCGTGGCGGAAGAGACAGTGTGTGGCGGAAATGACAGATAGGCAACTTCCAATTAAAAACAATTTTTCTACTGCTCTATGTGGTGAACCAGAGCAAATCAATAAGCAACAGCATTTGTGAACAAAAACATATCACCAATATTTTTAAATTAAAAACAATCCAAAAAATGAAAAAAACATGAATTTGTGTTAAAAATCAGCAAATCATTTCTTCACTGTTTTCTACATGCTGAACTAGAGCAAACTAGTACAAACTAGAGCAAACCCTTTATGTCATCATTACCTTAACATAACCTTAATATAACCAGTTGAATAACAGATAAAATAGGCAATATATTTTGAAATTGAAAACTTATATGCCTATGCTGAACCAGAGCAAACACTCTGTACTTAAACATTACTGTCATGTGTGTTATATCGTAAATCCATGTACTGTCAAACGTAATCATGTGGAATAACAAGTTGAATCTGACTAAATAGACATTGTATTTGCTAAATACTGTATCTGTCAAACTTGCATATGGGCCAGAGGTTCAGTTATGTTTCATGGTCAAGAACAGAGCATATTTCTTTCCAAACTGTTGGCTCCACCATCACATGCCTCTTTGTTACTGGTTGAGGCTCTGGGACCAGCCTGATCACATCTTCTGGCCGGTACCAAATAACATCGTCTCTCATAGGCCAGAAGAACTTGTTTTTGCCAATATGACTCATGGTTCTCACCAGAGCACAACCCTCAGGGTCCACATCCTGTATAATGCCAGGGTAAGGATCCCCATCATACCGTACCACACACCAACTTCCAATCAGTCCCTCATGCAGGTCTATGATGGGTTGAGATGTGCTGGTAAGTGTGCTTGAACTTGGTGATCCCAATGCAGTCTCCATGTACACCTTTGCTTTTGCCTTCGCAACCTTTTTTCTCCCTCTTTTCCTCTGTGGAGTTCTCTCTGGTGTAGGCTCACACAGCTGAGGTGTTTCAGGGATGTCTTCTGCATTAACACTCATGTTGTCTGGTGATGGTGGTGGTGTTGTATGTGCCATGAAACTATTCACTGCTGAGACCATTTTCCATTTCCTACGTCTGTTTCGTTGAGAAATTCGCCACTGTCTTCTCATTTTTCGTTGTTCTCTTTTCGGCATTTCTGTCACAGATTTAACAACACCTTGTTGCTTTTTCTTCAGGTATCTTTCTCTGTCCTTCTTGAGGGACTCTGCATATTTAAGTGGATCTGATTTTATTCTTTCTCTGTATGATCTTGACCTCTGTGCTGTGGTATTGCTTGCCATCTTAAAGAAAGAGCCAAGACATCATGTCAAACCTACTTATCTATTGTTCTCTTATTTACCAACAATATTGTAATATTGTTAAAACTGTTTTTGAATTTAGTATCAGTATTATAGCCCAAATAATTTGCTGTTTAGCACGAACAATGTCATTTCCACCACAACCTGTCTTTACCACCACAATGAACACCGTGGTGGAAATGACTGTGGTGGAAATGACATTTCCCCACTTTCCCTCTAAAATCTCATGCTATGTTAGCCTGCTAATATTAGTTTTAGAGTTAGCATTAAATATACACAAATTACACATTATTAAATTAAATGTATCCAGTTATTTTTACGTCCATGTGAAATATGAGCTGTTTGGAAATGACGACCAATAAACATACTCTCAGTTTTACTCATATTTACCTTGATTTTTCTTATTTTCATTACCCCCTGTAGAGGACACCATTTCATCCAGCCATGTGTTCCACTGTGGAGTTTCTGTTGCTATGGTTACTAAATATACAAACCTAAAACACTGATCCCAGGATTCTATTTTGTACAGTGTGGTGGAAATGACAGTGACCCCAAGGGACAAGGGTTCTATTTATGAAAAATATAGAAAAATGTGAATATGTATCACAATATATAATATGTAGAATTGAAATAAATGGTATTTTATCATTTGTACTTGAAATCTACATTATTTAAATATTTAATTTAGAATTAAGCGAGGTTGAAGATACAAAGTCTGGCTTAGGGACAGAGGGAAAACAGTAAAAACCATGCATAAAAGGCCTCATATTATATAATAAAAATAATGATTGAGCCATGATACATTTTTTATAAGTTCCCCTTAGGGTGGAGTAAGTATGACAAAAACAAAAAAGAAGAAATGTTTTTTAGTTTTTATTATTTCATCCAGGGACAAGAAAAGTACCATAGTTAAAGAATCACCCATAAATCTGAAGCATCGGGTTGGCATTTCCACTTGCCACCAAATATGATGAGAGGAGGGTCAAAACTACTTACCACAGCCACAGGTCATAACCCCCGCCTATTTCTACACTTTATCTTCTTAAAATGTGATTTTAAACCTTACCTTAACCACACTGTTAATCTTATGGCTGACCCGAAGACCAAACAGCTCATTTTTGTTTTCATTAAGTTTTATGATATAGCGATACAGACTTTGGGTGCGTTTGTAAATTCACTCTGGCTATCTACTCTGATTTCAGGGCACTCTCATCTGAGTGTCCCAGAGCGCAGAATAACTAATGAATATACAAATGCACAACACCTGTCGAATATGACCAGTGTCAGTAAACGTCGGCAAAAAAATCTTAATTAAATTGTTGCCAGCAGCACACTTACAGTCACCAACGCTCTAGATAACATGACAACAGCCTAACCAGCTCTGCTAGGGCGAGTAAAATGACCAAAGTGAGGTGTTCTCTCATGTGTCTGGAAGTATCTAACAAGCTAGCCAACTTTAGCCAGTTAGCTTGGGTGCTTGACTGCCGTTGTGAGGGCAGAACGCTCGGATCAACCCTACTCCTCGGCCAGAGCGTCCAGTGTGCGTTCCGAGAGCGAAACGCTCTGAATGTACGAACGGACAATCTGACAAAGCACTGAATTTACGAACGCCCAGAGCGCACTATGGCACTCCAGAGTGAATTTACGAACACACCCTTTGTGGCTCTGGTAACTAGTGGAAACCAAGATGGAGCGAGATGGATTTTGTGCGACATTCTGCTAATTTTCTCATCTTTATTTTTTCTCATCTTTATTTTTTATTTTTTAAAATCTCAATACAGTTTTCTGTTACCAAAACTAAAATCTGTTACGAACAGAGTGGATTACGTTTAGTAGATTTTACTATTTGCCTAAATTTATTAAAATTGCGTTTAGGAGAGCAAGAGCGACATGAGTTATTTCACAATGTAGGCGTGTGCTAGAACGCGCCAATAGGTTCTCGCTAGCTCGTGCTTGGCTCTGCCCACCACCTTGCCTATTCTGCCCACTATGATTAATTTGCCCGCTATGATTAATTTGTTCCCATTGGAAACGACAAGCTGTGGTTTATCTTGGGTTAGTTATAAAAATCTTCGGTTGTACTGTACACCTGTCCAGGGTTAGAGTCGACCAGGAATCATCATCCGGAACCCTTGTTATGAGCCACGGCCCACCTATCCTCGCGCGCTGATTTGATGAAGACAAGGACTAACTTGCCTTTCAGGTAGCTAGCTATCTGATGATGATCACAAATTGAATTACAAATCATGTCAATTTAGGGTTGTTATAAGAGTTTTTTTTAGCTAAAAATCTTGTAGTGATGTGGGACCTTAAAATTAGATTTTTTTGCCACAGAATACTATTCGAATAATAATAATAGCTAACGTTAATGTTTTTAGCTACAGTAGTTAGACACTATGTCGTCGTTCACAAAAACATAAAGATTGGCATCTTCTGATTAGGGAGTTTACTGACACTTGTATGTAATGTCAATTAGCCCGTTTTAGTCATGATCAAAACCAGAGCACTAGCTAGCTACTGTAATTCTTTATTTTCTTTACCAAAGATGATGCCGTCATAGGGATACCACAATAATAACGACCTAGCGAACTAGTAGATGGAACAACCATTCCACTAAAACACAGGCCAAATCAGACTAACACATTTTTTTTGTCCTCAAAAGTAAAGGTAAAACTGATGGTGACTGCCTCCATTTACACCTACACCACCCCCGCCCACCATTGCCTGGCAAATTAATTTCCACATCCCCATGGCCATGAAGATCCCCCACACTTACCCTCCTATCTCCCACACCCACTGCCGCTACCGGGGGCACAGGCTGTGGTGGGCCTTCCTCCTCTCCTCCCTGTCTGTCTTCCTGGGGGGCCTGCTGGCCCTGCTGCTCTGGAAGGTTGCTCACAGCGGGTTCAATAGTATTGGGATTTTCAGACCCCGACGACAGCGCTGGGCACACAGACAGGTGAGGGGAAAAGGTAGAAAGATAAGATGGAGAGGAAGTGAGTAGGGGATGACAAAGGGAGAGTTATGTACCCTACCAAACCTATAAGGTTATGTAAGCCTACACCTACAGTGTAATCACAGGTCAATCTGGTGTGCACTGTGCAGGCCTATGAACAGGTAGAGTAATAATTGTTGAGTTCAAATTTGACCATGTCTTGCTATTGTGATGTTGCAGAGCATTAGTGTGGAGCCAGAGTTCAATCTGAAGAATGCCTTGAAGGAATGGGCTTTCTCTGTGATATCTGCTCAACATCTGCCTGGCAAAGTCCTGGTAAGTCACAAGACATGCAGGAAGAGTACTCTTATGTTTTTCTTCTTCCGTCCTACTATTGTATTTCTCACCCTTTCCTGCCTCAACAGATGGTGCTGATATTCTGTTTCAACATCGGCTCCATCCTGACCTATATCATCCTCTCTACTGAGTGAGTTGCATCATGATATCATGATTATGGGATCAAAACAAAGTGTTGTTTGTTCACTAGAAAAGGTCCAAGACAAACAACCAGAGGGAAACTAAAATGTATTCTCCCTCTCCTCTCTCAGCCCAGTAGAGTCCTGCATGAAAGAATACAGCATAGCTTTCCTCGTTGATTTGAGCTTCAACATCTGCCACCTTATGTATTTTGGACTCAGGGTGAGGCAGTTAGCCAATAGGACATATACAAAATAACGTCACACATTTTGGGTTTAGACAAAGCAGTGTTTATTACTCAGTCTTTCCTGTGTGTTATTGTTCACCAGTTTTTGGCGGCCCAGGATAAGCTGACGGTTTGGGTTGACTTGAGATCCCTGGTGGATTTTTTCACCATCACTCCTTCCTTTGTTACCCTGTTTTCCCGTCGAGCCTGGCTGGGTAAGACACTCATACATGGGTCGTTCCACAAAGAGTGCCTTTTGCGCCCCTTGGATATTTTAACTATAAATTGTGCACCAATATTTCATTTTAAATGCCTGTTACTGTATATAAAATGAAGTGCCATTTCATATAGACCAAATGGGGAATTCAATTAATCCAATTTTTTTGTATGAATAAAGACCATAGGAGGCTGGTGGGAGGAGCTATAGGAGGACGGGCTCATTGTAATGGCTGGAAATAAATAAATGGAACTGAGTCAAACATATGGTTTCTATATGTTTGTTGTGTTTGATACCTTTCCATTATTCCATTCCAGCCATTACTATTAGCCTGTCCTCCTATAGCTCCTCCCACCAGCCTCCTCTGACAGACTTGTTAAAGTGCCAAAATTCAGCATTTTCACCTGTCCATCTGTGCACCCTCTGTCACATCAAGAAGATTTTAACCCCAACATTTCTCCCAAGTTTTCACCATCATTGTAAAGCCCTAGTTATTTTGTTGCTTTGACAAAGTCATTTCTGAAGTTCATTATTTATTTAATGTCATTAGTGATATATTTACGTCTGTCCCTCATTTTAAGGTCAATCCTGTTACGTGAACTGAACTCTCGTTTTAATTTCTCGTTTTTTTTCAAAAGAAACATTGAACATGTCAGAACAGAATAGTCAGACCATAGTGTAGAAGCAGGTGAGCTGGTTCTACTATTTTTGGCAATTTTCTGGTATTTTGTGGTGGAAAAGTGGGTCGAGCATAAAACCTCAACCCCGTTACCCATAGATAGATAGGCTAGATTCATTTTTTTTTTTTTTACAATTTCACGTTTTTTGTGAAGCTTGCATTCAATTTCCACTCGCTGTTGCACACAACAAGCTTCCATCCCCCCTGTCACAACGGGATTTATGGCTGATTTAAGATGAAATCGTCAACCTGTTACAGTTAACCCTGTTACTTTATTTGGCACTTACTATAGTATTTTTTTTAATTTAACCTCTCGAGATGGGAAAACTTGTTGAATATGTGCATTATGACAGAATGTTAAAATTAGGTGAACTCAAAGTTTTTTTGTTGTTGGGTGGAAAGACCCACATACAGTTGGCCTACACACTTATATGCCATTGACGTTATGGGAATTTTAAAGCAACATGGGATGGGATGTTCAAAATCTCTCCCTATATATATATATATATATATATATATGCTTAAAAAAAGTATTATTTACATTTTAGTCATTTACAGTGGGGGGAAAAAGTATTTAGTCAGCCACCAATTGTGCATGTTCTCCCACTTAAAAAGATGAGAGAGGCCTGTAATTTTCATCATAGGTACACGTCAACTATGACAGACAAATTGAGAAATAAATTCCAGAAAATCACATTGTAGGATTTTTAATGAATTTATTTGCAAATTATGGTGGAAAATAAGTATTTGGTCACCTACAAACAAGCAAGATTTCTGTCTCTCACAGACCTGTAACTTCTTCTTTAAGGGGCTCCTCTGTCCTCCACTCGTTACCTGTATTAATGGCACCTGATTGAACTTGTTATCAGTATAAAAGACACCTGTCCACAACCTCAAACAGTCACACTCCAAACTCCACTATGGCCAAGACCAAAGAGCTGTCAAAGGACACCAGAAACAAAATTGTAGACCTGCACCAGGCTGGGAAGACTGAATCTGCAATAGGTAAGCAGCTTGGTTTGAAGAAATCAACTGTGGGAGCAATTATTAGGAAATGGAAGACATACAAGACCACTGATAATCTCCCTCGATCTGGGGCTCCACGCAAGATCTCACCCCGTGGGGTCAAAATGATCACAAGAACGGTGAGCAAAAATCCCAGAACCACACGGGGGGACCTAGTGAATGACCTGCAGAGAGCTGGGACCAAAGTAACAAAGCCTACCATCAGTAACACACTACGCCGCCAGGGACTCAAATCCTGCAGTGCAAGACATGTCCCCCTGCTTAAGCCAGTACATGTCCAGGCCCGTCTGAAGTTTGCTAGAGTGCATTTGGATGATCCAGAAGAGGATTGGGAGAATGTGATATGGTCAGATGAAACCAAAATATAACTTTTTGGTAAAAACTCAACTCGTCGTGTTTGGAGGACAAAGAATGCTGAGTTGCATCCAAAGAACACCATACCTACTGTGAAGCATGGGGGTGGAAACATCATGCTTTGGGGCTGTTTTTCTGCAAAGGGACCAGGATGACTGATCCGTGTAAAGGAAAGAATGAATGGGGCCATGTATCGTGAGATTTTGAGTGAAAACCTCCTTCCATCAGCAAGGGCATTGAAGATGAAACGTGGCTGGGTCTTTCAGCATGACAATGATCCCAAACACACCGCCCGTGCAACGAAGGAGTGGCTTCGTAAGAAGCATTTCAAGGTCCTGGAGTGGCCTAGCCAGTCTCCAGATCTCAACCCCATAGAAAATCTTTGGAGGGAGTTGAAAGTCTGTGATGCCCAGCGACAGCCCCAAAACATCACTGCTCTAGAGGAGATCTGCATGGAGGAATGGGCCAAAATACCAGCAACAGTGTGTGAAAACCTTGTGAAGACTTACAGAAAACGTTTGACCTGTGTAATTGCCAACAAAGGGTATATAACAAAGTATTGAGAAACTTTTGTTATTGACCAAATACTTATTTTCCACCATAATTTGCAAATAAATTCATTAAAAAATCCTACAATGTGATTTTCTGGATTTTTTTTCCTCATTTTGTCTGTCATAGTTGACGTGTACCTATGATGAAAATTACAGGCCTCTCATCTTTTTAAGTGGGAGAACTTGCACAATTGGTGGCTGACTAAATACTTTTTTTCCCCACTGTAGCAGACGCTCTTATCCAGAGCGACTTACAGTTAGTTAGTGCATACATTATATTTTTTTCATACCCCCTGTGGGAATCGAACCCACAACCCTGGCGTTGCAAACGCCATGCTCTATCAACTGAGCTACATCCCTGCCGGCCATTCCCTCCCCTACCCTGGACGACGCTGGGCCAATTGCGCGCCGCCCCATGGGTCTATTATCATTATTATTATTGTATTTTTTCTTCTTCAATATAAGCTTAGTGTTGCAAAATTTTAGTAACTTTCCCAAAATTCCCAGGTTTTCCAGAAACCCCAATTAGAAGATTTAGTGGAATTTACTTGAATTTTGCAACCCTATAAACAAATGCCTTTTTCTGTATGTCTGGCCCAGGTCTGAGATTCATCAGAGCTATGCACATACTGGAGTTACCAGTCGTTCTGCAGATTCTCAACGTCCTCAACAGCAACAGGTAACACAGCAACACATACATCAAGTTTCAAGTTTTAATGTCACATGCACAAGTACAGTGAAATGCCTTTCTTGCCAGCTCTAACCCCAACAGTGCAGTAATCAATAACATTTTACATTTACATTTTAGTCATTTAGCAGACGCTCTTATCCAGAGCGACTTACAGTTAGTGAGTGCATACATTTTTTAAATTTTTGTAAAAAATAAAAATAATACTGGCCCCCCGTGGGAATAACAAAGTAATACTAAAAATAACAAGATACAACAAAAACACACGATATAAAAATAAGAAATAAGAAGAACACGATAAAGTAAGTAAGAATACTAAATACAGGGTCCGTTCCAGTACCATATTTACAATGTGCAATTTCCATCAAATAGAGGCCGGAACAGCGATGAAAATGAATGATTCAATCGACTTTCACATTTTCAGCATGTATGAGATACAAGCAATGTTACTTGTTTTAAATACATGTCTGCCTGTTAATACAGTTGAACTTACTATTTTTTTTTTCTCTCTCTCTCTCTCTCTCTCTCTCTCTGTCTCTGTTATTCTCTCTCTCTCTCTCTCTCTGTTATTCTCTCTCTCTCTCTCTCTCTGTTATTCTCTCTCTCTCTCTCTCTCTCTCTGTGTTATTCTCTCTCTCCCACTCACATTTCCTCTCACTCTGTGTTCCCAGCACCACTCTGAAACTCTCCCGCCTGGTTGCTATCCTAACAGGCACACTGCTGACCTCTGCTGGTTTCATCCACCTGGTGTGTGTCATTTCCAATAATGTTTTGGTTCTTTCCACACTCTTTACATTCACTGAGAAATAAGCAAACAATTTTGATTGACTAATGATGCAAATGTGTGTTTTATGAGTAATTCAGCTAATAATACAATTATTAATTCTGCTAACATTAAAGCTGAAATCCGTAGTGGTGAAACTACCACATCTGTTTGCGATATTACAACAACCAAGATATTACTTCAAACAACAAACTTTTTTTTTACCACAATGCTAGATGCTCATCTCCTCCGTTTCATAAACAAAACAATAACAAATGTGCCAAGGGCGACCAGTGGCACTGTTTCACCTTATGCAAATCTCAACTTTAACCGCTCTCTCTCATGGGACCTGGTCTTGCTGCAGCTGGAGAACTCAGGTGACCCCTGGCTGGACTTCTCCAACCCCCAACCTCTCTACTACTTTGACTGTGTTTACTTCCTGGTTGTTACCATGTCAACGGTGGGCTATGGGGATGTGGAGATAAGGACGACCCTGGGACGCCTCTTTGTCATCATCTTCATCTTTATCGGACTGGTAAATCTCATAAGAGAGTATTGACTCCCCCCATACAATGTAAAGAGCCTTTAAGCATAGGAAAGTGTTATGGAAATCCAATCCATGAAAGCTACTGTCTGCTTCCCAAATGGCACCCTATCCCCCCTATATCAGGGATGCGGCCTGTGGCCCCCCTTTTGTAGGCCTGCAGATCCATTTCCAAAAAGGAAAAAATAAAACATCAATTAGCCCATGTCAGCTAGCATTTTTGGGATTTTGCTTAGGGTACCCAAAAGGCTAGGACCGGCTCTGACTGCATATCTGGGTATGGATGTGGGTACGCAGACCCGCAAACTACAGATGTTTTTCAAAGTTGCCCATCCCTGCCCTATATAGTGCACTACTTTTGAACAGGTCCCATAGGGTTCTGGTCAAATGTAGTGCACTTCATAGGGAATATGGTGGCAATTGGGATGCTGTCACTGTCAGTGATCCATTGAGGATGTGATTTAGATACACATCATCTCTCTGTCTCTGTCTCTCTCTCTCTCTCTCTCTCTCGCTCTTTCTGTCGCTCTCTCGCTCTCTCTCACTCTCTCAGGGTCTGTTTGCCAACTTTGTCCCAGAGGTGGTTCAGATCATCATCAACAGGAAGAGGTTTGATGGAAGCTTCACGGCTGTCTCAGGCAAGACGTGAGTCTTCTTACTACAGTTTATCAGAGATGATCAAAATAAAACAGTTGGTGTAGTAGCAGGTACAAGGTACATTTGTATGTCACACAACATGATTAATATACACTGGACCTAGACTAAAAATACTACATCCTCAGTATATCTGATATAAAACTTCTTAGAATGATAGTCTTTCTCTCGTTCTATCTCCACCCATCCATGTTGATGTTCCTCCCTGTGTGTGTGTGTGTGTGTGCTAGCCATGTGGTGGTGTGTGGTCATATCACTCTGAGCAGTGCCTCTGCCTTTATGAAAGATTTTCTACATGAGGACAGGGGAGAGGTCAACGTCAAGGTGCTCTTCCTGGGAAAGTGAGTCACAGCGTTACCTTTGAGCCCAACCTGGGCCCTGTTCAAATGTTGTGCACTACATAGAGATTAGGGTCCCATTTCAGACACTGCTATCTCTGCCTTTGCCAGCTTCCGTCCTGACCAGGAGCTGGAGGCGTTCTTCCTGAGGTGGTTCCTGAAGGTCACCTTCTATCAGGGCTCAGTGATGCAGAAGAGAGACCTGGAGAGAGTTAGGGTACTGTAGCCAACTACACACTCAGTTTGGATAACTGATGTACAACACATTTGACACAACTGTTTTGATACGAAGAGTTAGTCTGCACAAAAATATTTACACACAACAGTTGTGGGGACACCACACAATGGTTTTGTAATCATTTTTGTGCAGACAAACTCTTCGATCTGACTGTGTGTTTTACTGGATATACTACCATCTAGCAGTCGGATGCTAACATTAGCACTTGCACTCCAAGCCAACTGTACACAGTTGTGAAATCTAGAGCAAGAAGCTAAGCTTGTTCCTCCTGGAGCGACTGTTGGCTCTTAGATCTCAGGAAGGTAACACATCACCACAGTGGCTAGCAGTTACTGGCTAGCCTCTGCTTATCACGTACAACAAGGGCACCAATACAGAGAGGGAGACAAGTACACTGGGAAGGGTACAGGAGGGATACTGGGATGCAGAGTAATGATTGTTTAGTTACTATGGTACATGGTAGTACTAGCTTGATGCTATCCTCTGTGTGTAGATGCAGAAAGCAGGAGCTTGCCTGATCATCTGTGACAGGTTCACCTCAGACCAGAATAAGGAGGACGCTGCCAATCTCATGAGGTAGGTAGGGCTCAGGTGCATGCCCACATAGATAGACAGGCGCACACACACACACACACACACACACACACACACACACACACACACATTCACCTGCTCTCTACCTTGTTATCCTTTCTGAGACACAGCTAAAAATAAATAAAGGATGCAGATTTTATCATAAGATAAAACAACATGTTTTAAGAGTGTGTTTGTCCTCTGTCAGGGTGATCTCCATCAAACAGTATTGTCCCAACACCAGGATTATAGTTCAGATGCTGAAGCACAATAGTAAGGTAGGCTGCCATATCTCAGACTGGCCAATAAAAATAAAAGATTAAGATGGGCAAAAGAACACAGACACTGGACTTTTTCTTTGCAATTCTGCCTAGAAGGTCAGCATCCCGGAGTCGCCTCTTCACTGTTGACGTTGAGACTGGTGTTTTGCGAGTACTATTTAATGAAGCTGCCAGTTGAGGACCTGTGAGGCGTCTGTTTCTCAAACTAGACACTCTAATAATGTATTTGTCCTCTTGCTCAGTTGTGCACCGGGACCTCCCACTCCTCTTTCTATTCTGGTTAGAGACAGTTTGCGCTGTTCTGTGAAGGGAGTAGTACACAGCGTTGTACGAGATCTTCAGTTTCTTGGCAATTTCTCGCATGGAATAGCCTTCATTTCTCAGAACAAGAATAGACTGACGAGTTTCAGAATAAAGTTATTTGTTTCTGGCCATTTTGATTCTGTAATCGAACCCACAATTGCTGATGCTCCAGATACTCAACTAGTCTCAAGAAGGCCAGTTTTATTGCTTCTTTAATCAACACAACAGTTTTCAGCTGTGCTAACATAATTGCAAAAGGGTGTTCTAATGATCAATTAGCCTTTTAAAATGATAAACTTGGATTAGCAAACACAACGTGCCATTGGAACACAGGACTGAAGGTTGCTGATAATGGGCCTCTGTACGCCTATGTAGATATTCCATAAAAAATCAGCCGTTTCCAGCTACAATAGCCATTTTCAACATTAACAATGTCTACACTGTATTTCTGATCAATTTGATGTTATTTTAATGGACAAAAAATGTGCTTTTCTTTCGAAAACAAGGACATTTCTAAGTGACCCCAAACTTTTGAACGGTAGTGTACGTCTTACAAACAAGTCTGGCTACTGTTGCTGGATGATGTGTTGTGTGTGTGTGCACGTGTGTGTGTGTGTGTGTGTGTGTGTGTGCCCCCCAGGCGTTCCTGCAGAACGTGCCTAACTGGGACTGGAGTCGAGGTGATGCAGTGATCTGCCTGGCAGAGCTCAAACTGGGTTTCATGTCTCAGAGCTGCCTGGTGCCTGGCCTCTCCACACTATTGGCCAACCTGTTCACCATGCAGAGCGAGATCGAGGTGTGTCAACAATAAAGTGCACTATTCTGATCCCTTAAGGATTTGAATGTATTTTTGAAAGCAGGGTGGGAGAGCAGAGAGAGAGAGGGGCACAGACAGGCATGGCCGAGACTGAATCTCTGTTGCCATTTTGTTTTACAGCAGGATGGAGACACCTGGCAGAACCTGTACAGAGAGGGCCTCTACAATGAGATCTACACAGAGCACCTGTCCCCCTCCTTCATAGGGATGTCCTTCGCTCAGGCCAGCAAGTCAGTTTGTCTGCACACAACAGAGAGACAAATAAGCATTCTACTACTACACAAACAAACATGATCTCTCTCTGCCTGTGTGTCTGTGCCTGTGTCTGTCTGTGTGTGTGTGCGTGTGTGTGTGTGTGTGTGTGTCAGGCTATGTTTCCTGAAGCTGAGGTTGCTGTTGATTGGGATTGAGTATCAGAGCGGAGACCAAGATTTCAAGTAAGCAACTAGTAGTAGTAGCAGGGTTGGGGAGTAACGGATTACACATTTTTTTTGTAATCCCTTACATGTAACGGATTACCAAAAAAACGGTAACTGTAATCCATTACGTTACCAGCAAAAATATTGTAATCAGATTACAGATACTTTTGAAAAACTAGATGATTACTTTCGGCGATTACTTTTAAATTCAGAAAGGATATTTGCGGAAAAAAATCTTTGACACTTCTGTTTTCTCAATGACATTCAAATCAGCATTGAAAAAAGGTGCAAGTTTAAGTTTGTTCCACCTGAGCGAGCCTGACCACAAGTCAGAGACCACTATGATGACAAACCAAATGTGTTTGATGGATCGTGGGAAAAGAGCAGGAATAGGATTTTGTATGCTACAGTCCAAGCTATGTCTTCCAATGGTGCGACTGCTGTCGGCATCCAAAGATTATCCAATTTGAATAAACGCTTGGAGGTAAGGATGACAGCAGTGGTGTAGTCTAGGGCGATACGGATACACTACCAGTCAAAAGTTTGGACACACCTACTCATTCAAGAGTTTTTCTTAATTTTTTACATTGTAGAATAATAGTGAAGACATCAAAACTATGAAATAACACATAAAATCATGTAGTAACCAAAAAAGTGTTAAACAAATACAAATAAATATATTTTATATTTGAGATTCTTAAAATCGCCACCCTTTGCCTTGATGACAGCTTTGCACACTCTTGGCATTCTCTCAACCAGCTTCATGAGGTAGTCACCTGAAATGCATTTAAATTAACAGGTGTGCCTTCTTAAAAGTTAATTTGTGGAATTTCTTTCCTTCTTAATGCGTTTGAGACAATCAGTTGTGTTGTGACAAGGTAGGGGGGGGGGTGTATACAGAAGATAGCCCTATTTGGTAAAAGACCAAGTCCATATTATGGCAAGAACTGCTCAAATAAGCAAAGAGAAACGACAGTCCATCATTACTTTAAGACATGAAGGTCAGTCAATACTGAACATTTCAAGAACTTTGAAAGTTTCTACAAGTGCAGTCACAAAAACCATCAATCACTATGATGAAACTGGCTCTCATGAGGACCGCCACAGGAATGGAAGACCCAGAGTTACCTCTGCTGCAGAGGATAAGTTCATTAGAGTTACTGGCCTCAGAAATTGCAGTCCAAATAAATCAACATCAACTGTTCAGAGGGTACTGTGTGAATCAGGCCTTCATGGTCGAATTGCTGCAAAGAAACCACTACTACAGGACACCAATAATAAGAAGAGACCTGTTGGGCCAAGAAACATGAGCAATGGACATTAGACCGGTGGAAATATGTCCTTTGGTCTGGAGTCCAAATTTGAGATTTTTGGTTCCAACCGCCTTGTCTTTGTGAGACGCGGTGTGGGTGAACGGATGATCTCCGCATGTGTAGTTCCCACCGTAAAGCATGGAGGAGGAGGTGTTATGGTGTTGGGATGCTTTGCTGGTGACACTGTCTGTGATTTATTTAGAATTCAAGGCACACTTAACCAGCATGGCTTCCACAGCATTCTGCAGCGATACGTCATCCCATCTGGTTTGGGCTTAGTGGGACTATCATTTGTTTTTCAACAGGACAATGACCCAACACACCTCCAGGCTGTGTAAGGGCTATTTTAGCAAGAAGGAGAGGATGGAGTGCTGCATCAGATGACCTGGCCTCCACAATCCCCCGACCTCAACAAAATTGAGATGGTTTTGGATGAGTTGGACCGCAGAGTGAAGGAAAAGCAGCCAACAAGTGCTCAGCATAAATGGGAACTGTTGGAAACGCATTCCAGGTGAAGCTGGTTGAGAGAATGCCAAGAGTGTGCAAAGCTTTCATCAAGGCAAAGGGTGGCTATTTGAAGAATCTCAAATATAAAATATATTTTGATTTGTTTAACACTTTTTTGGTTACTACATGATTCCATATGTGTTATTTCATAGTTTTGATGTCTTCACTATTATTCTACAATGTAGAAAATAGTAATAGGTTCTGTATCTACATAGCGCATTGATGTGAATCACACTGCTGCTCTCTCATTTAGCTATTTGCGCCTCACGGATTGTGGTTGTTGTGGATGGCTGTTCATCAATCTAAATGTGTATTTGAACCCAATAATGGTTGAATTCAAGAAGTTTAAGCTGCTTATCAATCATTGTTTTTGAAACCAGTGGACAGCCAGTGAAAAATGCGCTCTTGCAAAAGATTGAGCAATAAAAGCATCACTTTTATTCCATAGGCTGTATGTAGCTAATTCATGCTGATAAAAAATTATAATTCATAGACCTAATGAACACATGCTCAAACTTGCACACTTTTGATACACTTAAAGGAGCAATCTGTAGTTGCTACATCAATTTTTGGACTTAATAATATAACTTATAAATGCCTCATGAGCTTAGTTCAGCTGTCACACTCCATGAGAACCCAAAATATAAGCTTGTTTTTCTCCAATGTTTGTAAACATTGTACATGTGAACAAACACTGTATAGCCTCATAACATGGTTAAAACAATACTTTTTATATTATGGATGGTCAGTCCTTGCATCCATAGCTCTGTTTATTTTTTTTTATTTTTTATTTTTTATGTAACCTTTATTTAACTAGGCAAGTCAGTTAAGAACAAATTCTTATTAACAATTATTACACAATGGTTACATTTCTCCAGCCCCATCCCTCAGCATTTTACCAAAACAGAGGCGGGGCAACCATTTTGTTATTGTTTCATCTGTGGATTTGCCCTTTTAACAGCTGCATATTATCAAGATATCAAAGTGTCACCAACAAAAAGGTAAACAATAGGCTGATTGTAAATGCAGCATATGGAATTCATTTTAACTTTAACAGTGATTTATCCTGCAATAGATGTCGTTCAATTGGTAACATACATTTGTGTCTTCTTCTGATGCCTCTTAAGGGGAAAGAAATCTAAAAGTAACTGAATGTAATCAGATTACGTTACTGAGTTTGGGTAATCCAAAAGTTACATTACTGATTATTTTGGACAGGTAACTACTAACTGTAATGGATTACATTTAGAAAGTAACCTACCCAACCCTGAGTAGTAGTAGTAGTAGTAGTAGTAGTAGTAGTAGTAGCATTAGCAGTAGTAGTAGTATTTGTATTTATTAAGGATCCCCATTAGCTACTGCCAAGCAGGCAGCTACTCCTCCTGTAGTAGTAGTAGTAGTAGTGGTAGTAGTAGTAGTGGTAGTGGTAGTGGTGGTAGTAGTAGTAGCAGCAATAGTAGTAGTAGTAGTAGTAGTAGTAGACAGTCATTTCTATAATGCTTACAGGTATTTGTTTATTTTACACATTAACTGTATTTGTTTATTTTACACATTAACTGTAGTTTTGTGGATGGGCTACTGCCTGCCTGTTAAAGTTGTTTTGTTGTTTGTCAGTGTGTTGGTGAATCCTCCCAGTCACATCAAAATCAAGCTGTGGACTCTGGGTTTCCTCATAGCCAGCAATGCCAGTGATGCCAGAAGGTACTGTACCACTCTAATATTTGCTCATAAACTAGAGCCTTGACTCAAATGCTTCTGTATGTAGGGAGTGGGAGTATATATGGTAGTCACTTTTGCGTACCTGTGTGTTTGTCAGGGCGAGTATGTACTGCTCTGTGTGTCACAGAGACATCAAGGATTTGTCCAGGATGGGACCCTGCAAGTGCACTGAGCAGAAAGATGGTATGGCAACAATACAGTGGCGCAGACAAGCCTATTACACTCACAGACCTTTTTAGTACTAACCTCAGTTTCACAAGAAGCAAAGCAACTGAGATAAGACATGTTGAGAGGTACAGAGAAGGTGCAGTCTCTAACTCCTCCATTAGGGGGAGTCCTCATCCCACGTTTCTCCACTGGGCTGAAAAATCTGGCTTTTCTTTAGTAGAAAGCACCAAGCGCCTCTGTCTGTCCTGTTCGCCTCATTACACATTTTCACACAGAGCAGAGACTCAGAATGGCTGTCTGTCACCCCTCTGTCTCTTATGAGCCTGTCTGTCACCTATGGGTGTGTCTGACCTGCAAGACTGTCTCTCACCCGTGTGTTTATCATCTGTCTGTGTGTGTGTGTCTCCCATCAGTCTCATCTCACACCTCCACTATGAGTCTAGGCTTCAGACGGCCATCACTGGGAGTTCTGCCCTTCAGGTGAGAAATCACAGCCTTCTACATAGGAATATGTTTGTTTTGAACATGCTGAGACAAATATTTAATTGAACACTCACCATGATATATCGCACGCACACACACACACACACCTAGTGTGTGTGACTTCAGTGTGTCCTGTCATTAGTGGAGGCTGCCTAGTGCGGGCGGGCGGGCAGGCTGGCTAGGTCCTGGACAGCTGAGCACAGTGGAATAGCAGGCTGGGATTGACAGGCTGATTAATGGGCCGGCTCCCCAGCCGCCTCACTCAACCCATTCTGGGCATTAATATTGGGAGATCCTGTCAGAGAGGACAGAGAGGGAGGAGGAGAGAGGGAGGAGGAGAGAGGGAGGACAGAGAGGGAGGAGGAGAGAGGGAGAGTTAGTCAGAAGGTGAGGTAGTGAGCAGATTACAGCTGAAATAAGTCATAGTGCCCTGCTCTCCCTCGCTCTCTCTCTTTCTCTCTCTGTGTCTCTTTCCTCTCTCTCTTCCCCCCCTCATCCCTCTCACTCCTGTCTCGCTCTCTTTCTTTCTCTCTCTCTGTCTATCCTGTCTCGCCGCCACCCTTTTCTTCTGTGATCTGTGATTCCACTACCCTAGTGAATACCTTTCATTTTCCCTGTTGTGCTCTTGATATCCAGAGTGGTTGGACAGTGCATGTGTGGATATGTAATATGTCTGCATGCCTGAGTGTGTGTGTGCCTCCCCTGTCTTCTCTCCCTCCACCCTTTCTTCTCCACTCTCTGAGGCTTGTGTGTGTGTCCTCTGCTGTAGCCCAGAGGGAGAGACTCTTGGAGAGAGGGAGTGTGTTTGGGAGGAGCAGGAGGAGGAGGTGGGGCTGGACTCTACAGGACTGTTCCACTGGTGCCCACCTGTTCCCTTGAAGGACATCTCACTGGTAAGACTGGGACATATATGCAATTAGGCACTAATGGTGAGCGATTAACTTACATTTAGTTTTTTATTTTCGGTTATTAAACAACTCATTGACGGACGTCGGTTCAATGACTTGAATTCCATTTAGTTAATTTTTTTGTGAGCCCAACGTGCCATTTCTCGAGAGAGATATCAAATAATTCACGAGAGAAATCAAGTCAAGAACTATGTGTGACTGGGCTGAAGGGAGTTGTAGTTTTCATTAAGCAAATATTCAACAAAGTTCAGTGCAGAAACGTGGTAATTAACTACAATGACCATAATCCATTGCACCTGTTATTTCCGTCTTGGACACTTTTACGCCTGCTGTGTTAGGTTAGATACACACAGACCGCTTAGACCGTATGAGAGGAATGTACACAACACAACAAGAAGATGGAGAGGGATGGAAACGGTGCTTGCTGTTTGGGGTTTTAGGCTGGGATTCTGTAGAAGCACTTTGTGACATCTGCTGATGTAAAAAGGGCTTTAGAAATACATTTTGATTGATTTGATTGATTCCTAAAGGAAGGGGTTATCTATTTTGAAGAACTAGTAAAATGATTTAGTCAGACAGCTCTTCAGCATCCTGAAACAGGCTAGCCTAGATAAATAGGAAGAGGATGGGGAGCACAGAGAGAACGTTGTCTGGCTGGCTGGCTGCTACTGCCTGAGCAGAGATGAGATGATCACTTTAAAAAGGATAAAGTCATCAAATAAAATAGTAATATACCCAACTATAATATTTAATTATTCATAGTAATTTCCTATTTTTCGATTGATGTCTACCGAATGTGGACCTGACAGAGACAATCATCTCATCTCTGCTCAGGCAGTAGCAGCCAGCCAGCCAGACAACGTTGTCTCTGTGTTCCCCATACTGTACTGTCTTTAGTCATCCTATTTAGCTAGGCTAGCCAATGGAATATTTTCAATGTTTTGGAAATTGAATGTTCAGTATTTTTGGCTTTTGCTATGGAATGTAAATTTTTCATAACACATTTAATGTAAAAAATGAAAACGTGATAACTTTTTAAGAATCGAACCGAAACCGAACCGACCTCAAAAAGCACTAATCGCTCAGTACTATTAGGCACACACTCACTGTCTCACACACTGGCTCTAGCTTACTTGTACCTAGCCAGCTAGAATACATGCATGTAATAGTAACATAATAAACATCAGCAGTCATGCATTTGTGTGTGTATCCTCCTCAGACCAGACAGAGTGCCAGTACCCTGGCGCTGCAGGACCATGTGGTGGTGTGTGTGTTTGGGGACGGGGGCTCCAGCCTGCTGGGCCTGGGGGACTTCATGATGCCTCTGAGGGCCAGCAGCCTGACGGCCCCAGAGCTGAGGACAGTGGTCTTCCTGGGAGACCCACACTACTTCAGCAGGGAGTGGCCCAACATACAATACTTCCCTAACATCTACTTCCTGCCTGTGAGTCTCTGGACATGTTTGAATACTCTATAATAGATTTGAAATCTATCCATTATTCAACAGAAACTTGTATTTTTGCTGACATACACGACAGGCATAGGTCAGGATCAGAGGAGGCTGGTGGTATGAGCTATAGGAGGACAGGCTCATTGTAATGGCCGGAATGGAATCAATGGAACAGAGTCAAACATGGGCTTTCCATATGTTTGATGTGCTTGATACCGTTCCATTAATTCCATTCCAGTCATTACAATGAGCCCGTCCTCCTATAGCTCCTCCCACCAGCCTCCACTGGTCAGGATACTCCATCGCTAGAATACCTAGTAAAGAGACTAACTAGGTAGAAGGTGGAAGAGGTGCCTAGGACTATATAACTGATCAGTCCTTGCCTGTCTCCCCCTGTCCCCTCACCCACCTCGTCACCCCATCCCTATCCCCCAGGGCTCTCCTCTGTGTGGGGCAGACCTACGTGTGTTGAGGGTGGAGCGCTGTGCCATGGTGGTGGTCCTCAGCTCTCTGTCCAGCTCCAGCGACATTGAGCCCTCCATGCAGGATAAGGATACCATCCACTTCTGTGTCAACCTCTACCACATCCGCTTCAGCCCCGAGCCAGGCCCACGCTGCACACTCAGTCACACTCAGAGTCACGACCATGGACAGGGGCTAGAGCTTGGTCATGGGTTTGGTGGTCATAACCGCGGTCCAAGCCACGGTCAGTGAGATGGACCAGAGAGGTTCATAGAGAGTGGGCAGGGCAGGGGGCTGGGAGAATATTACTGTTAATGTTTGTTGGCTGCTTTAATATTCGATTAGTTTGCTTGGCTGGAGGCTGGACTGTCAGTGTGAGAGGATTGCGTTGGAGGTGAGAGAATGTGTGTGTGTGTGTGTGTTTATATTGTCTGTGAAGAGTGTGTATGAGTGTCATGTCCGTGGTATGAGCGCCGGACAGATTGTGGTCAGACAGACAGACAGACAGACAGACGGGAGCTGAGGGAAAGTTCTGAAGGCTCAGCAGAAGTGTTCTGGGAATTGTGTGAGCGAATGGGGTGTGTGTGTGTATATAAATGGCAGCGTGTGTGTGTGTATGAACCCCAGTGTTTGTGTGTGTGTGTGTGTGTACGCGACAGCCTGCCACAGAGGCTGACAGAAAATAAACATGTTCCAGTAATTAACCTTGACAGGCTCAATGTGCCGCCAACAGCAGAATGTGCTAATGACACAATTAATCCATAATTAAGGCATGCTGTCTCACTGGAGCCATACAGTGGCAGGACCGACCCATCTGGGCTGCCTATCAGTGACGGTCTGTCTGGACTACAAGAGAGGAGAGGGGACACGTGTGTGTTCATGTTGGGTTATTTCTTGTAGGGGACATTGGTGCATAATGTCCTAGTAATACACACTAATAACTGAAATGTTCACATGTTTAGTGACAAAAGAATCACTGTTATACCAATCATGTTATGCAAATGATTTTGGGAATCCCATTCTTTTGAGGGTTTTACCTACGTTAGTTGGTTGCACTTACTGACTATAAGAGCGTCTGCTAAAATGACCAAAGTGTAAAGTAAAAATGGTGTAGATTTGTATCACTGATTCTACTTTTATGGTTGTTGTGTTCAGTGTGTGCCATTGTAACAGTGTGTTATGTGTTGTGCAGATACACTAGACTTTTCCCACATCCCTATGATACCCGAGAAGGCTGAGGTCACCCCTGCTCACAGCGCCGGCTCCGCTGTCCCTCTGCTGGTAGAGCTGGGTATTGCGCCTATTTCACTAGTGCTGTGCTACATCAACAGGGACAGGATTTTTAGTCTGGTCACATGGTCAGGGAACACCAGTAAATACCATATAGTTATAGGTGGATGGTGACAATTTATTCTAAAAAAGTACAGTACTATTATTCACAGCGATCCCTGTTTAACCAAAAACTTTTAACACCAAGGAGAAACTTTCACTGACCTCTATACTGACTGTTTGTACTTTAATTAGACTATTAACTAGTCCCTCTCTCCCCCAGTGAACAGCTCTAATGTGTGCTTTGTGAACGAGGCGGACAGCCAAGAGGACTTCTCCAGCCTGACTCTGACCCAGGGCTTCTCTGTAGGTTCCGTCTTCTCTGTCGACCTGCTGGACACTCTCATGTCAGCCGTGAGTAGACAGAACAGGACACAACGGCCGAGGTACTAAGTTGCACCCTATTTCCCATATAGTGCACTATTTTTGACCAGCGCTCCATAGGCATAGCCATTTGGAAAGCATTCAATCTACAGTAATAGTAATTCATCAATTGTAATAGCAATTGTACTACTTAGTTGCTTATAATAATGCTATAATACAAGTCTTGAAAGTATTATTACCATTGGGAAGCATGATACCACTTATGTTTTACTTTATCCACTTCTCTACTCAATGCTATAAGATCATGCATCTGCAGCACCAAAGATGGTGGACGATTGATAGCCTCCCCAAGATAGCTAGCTAACCAGTCAACTAACCTGAAAAACTGCCTGTATATTATAACAGAGTGGGGGAACTCTATTTCTAGTTATTGGCCTCTGGTAGAACACACAGTGTCACTGTGAGCTGTGGGTTAGCTAACCTAACCAATACCTAACCTAATCTAACCTTACCTCGGAGTGGTTGCCTGTCTGTTGTCTGTGGTCTGTCTGTGTGGTGTGTAGACGTACTTCAACGCCAATGTGCCTGGTCTGATCTGTACGCTGGTGACGGGTGGCGACACCCCTTTACTGGAGGCCCAGCTGGCAGAGGACAACCAGCTGCAGGGAGGGGAGATGTCCGTGAAGATGTGGGCGCTGCGCCAACGCTCCAAACTGGCACAGCTGGCACTGCAGGACGAGCCCCTCTGTAGCCTCGCTGTGAGAGTTTCTACTACTAACACACACGTATATACACTATGTATACAAAAGTATGTGGACATCCCTTCAAATTAGTGGATTTGGCTATTTCAGCCTCACCCATTGCTGACAGGTGTATACAATCGAGCACACAGCCATGCAATCTCCATAGACAAACATTGGCAGTAGAATGGCCTTACTGAAGAGCTCAGTGACTTTCAACGTGCCACCTTTCCAACAAGTCAGTTCGTAAAATTTCTGCCCTGCAAGAGCTGCCCCGGTCAACTGTAAGTGCTGTTATTGTGAATTGGCAACGTTTAGGAGCAACAACGGCTCAACCACAAAGTGGTATGCCACACAAGCTCACACGAGAACGGGACCGCTGAGTGCTGAAGCGCATAGCGTGTAAAAATCGCCTTTCCTCGGTTCATGGTTTCGGGCTAGGCCCCTTAGTTCCAGTGAAGGGAAATCAACACTACAGCATACAATTACATTCTAGACGATTCTGTGCTTCTAACTTTGTGGCAACAGTTTGGGGAAGGCACTTTCCTGTTTCAGCATGACAATGCCCCCATGTACAAAGCGAGGTCCATACAGATATGGTTTGTTGAGAACGGTGTGGAAGAACTTGACTGGCCTGCACAGAGCCCTGACCTCAACCCCGTCGAACACCTTTGGGATGAATTGGAACGCCGACTGCGAGCCAGGCCTAATCGCCCAACATCAGTGCCCGACCTCACTAATGCTCTTGTGGCTGAATGGAAGCAAGTCCTTGCAGCAATGTTCCAACATCTAGTGGAAAGCCTTCCCAGAAGAGTAGAGGCTGTTATAGCAGCAAAGGGGGGGACCAACTCTATATTAAAGCCCATGATTTTGGAATGAGATGTTCGACGAGCAGGCGTCCACATACTTTTGGTCATGTAGTGTACACCTATATGGACACACACCTACACTGAGTGTACAAAACGTTAGGAACAGTTGCTCTTTCCATGACATAGACTGACCAGGTAAATCCAGGTGAAAGCTATGATCCCTTATTGATGTCACCTGTTAACTCACATCAATCAGTGTAGATGAAGGGGAGGAGACATGTTAAAGAAGTATTTTTAAGCCTTGGGACAATTGAGACACAGATTGTGTATGTGTGCCATTCAGAGGGTGAATGGGCAAGACAAACGATTTGTGCCTTTGAAAGGGGTATAGTAGTAGGTGCCAGGTGCACCGGTTTGAGTGTGTCAAGAACTGCAACGCTGCTGGGTTTTTCACACTTAACAGTTTCCATCCACCACCCAAAGGACATCCAGCCAACTTGACACAACTGTGGGAAGCATTGGAATCGACATGGGCCAGCATCCCTGTGGAACGCTTTCGACACCTTGTAGAGTCCATGCCCCGACGAATTGAAGCTGTTCTGAGGCCAAAAGGGGGGTTACAACTCAATATTAGGGAGATGTTCCTAATGTTTTGTACACTCAGTTTATATAGACACACACAAACGCAGCAGTTCTAGAAACAGGCCCACAAACACACACGTCCTAGTGATTTCCTATCATCCATATCCTCTGCAGTGTGAGGACTTCAAGGAGTTGTTCTGCCAGGCTCTGGACTCGTTGGAGATCCTGTGTTTTGGGCTGTATCGCCTGCTGGACCCTCCTAACCCCTCCATGAAGAGGTACACTACCCATGCTGCTGCTCTTCCCTCTGCTGTTGGCACATACTTACTGTTCCACTGTCTGCAGGTTTGTAATCACCAACCCGTCAGCAGAGCTCCCGTTGTTTCCCTCAGACAGAGTCTTCTGCTCCGTACCCTTCCACCAGAGTCACCTGCTCACCCTGAGGAGAGCCAAGACCAGTCACCGCCTATGAACCTCCCCTACACCTCCCGTCTGCTTGGACAGCACAAGGTTAATTACTCCACAGAGAACACTATCAATTGTTTTACGTCAATCTCTTTATAAAGTCTTTATAAATCTTTATACGTCTTTGAATGGAAATTATTATTTTTGCTGACACAGTACCCAATCACACCGACACACACACACACAGACGTCACACTAGGAGTGCGTTGCTCAAGGGCACAACGGCGGTAGTTTAAGAGAGAGATGATTTACAACCTGTATTGTGAGTGGTTCTTCTATACTTTACTGGTTATGAATATCAATGCCGTACAGTAGGAGACGTGACAGTGTTTGACAATGGCTGAGACGTCTATTATTGTTTGCCTATGGTTGGTGACATGTTTTTATAATGTAGCTTTAGGTTGACATGTATAGTTTATAATTCCTATACAGTTATGGTTTGTTTAAGTGAATGCAAATATATAACTATATTTCAACTTTGGTGAACTGGGGCAAGTTTTTCTACACACACACTGTGCTGTATTTGGTTCAAGGGCTGTGTGTCTCTCTGTCTGTGTTCGCGTGTGTGTTTGTCTCTCGTGGCGTCCCAGTCAGTGTGTGTGTTTGTCTGTGGCGGTGGCGTTCCTGTCAGTGTCTGTCAGTGCGGGGAGACTAAGCACTGACAGGTGTGTGTCACCCCATCAGTCACCTGTCAGCACTGCCTGCCTGCCCAGGAGGAGGAGGAGGAGGGAAGGAGATGCTGAAGGACACCAGTCGTCTGCCGCTCCACTCAGCCTGACCCACTTCTCTGGCTCACACACACACCTGTCTGTCTGTAAAAACACAAACACACACACACACACACACACACACACACACACACACACACACACACACACACACACACAGTCTTCAGAGAAGTTTACGTCTATGTAGGACAAAGGCTGCCTCTGGCTAACCCCAAATTATCATAGACTGTATAGCGTTGCAAATGAAAATCCCTCCATCTGACTTGACTCATTGCTCATCACCACCAGAAGAGATTGTGGGCCCTATAGATCAAACAGTAATGTTCAAATCCCTAGTCCTCCACCCAACTAAAACCAGAATAGTAGGGATCACTTGCCAAGCCAGCCCCAGCTCCTCCAAGCATGTGTTTATATACTTTGTCACTCAGAAAAATGAGATGTGCAAATCCATGCCAGAAAGGGGATATTTCTGACAGTGCTTCATGCTTGAGTTTTTCCTCACTCCGCTCTAGATGAGCTGTTGACAGTTTTATGGCTGTACTGTGCTGAAAGAGAGAGACTGATAAAGAGAGAGAGAGAGAGAGAGAGAGAGAGAGAGAGAGAAGGAAGGAGGGGGAGGAGAGCTGGACAGTGATAAAAGGGAAAGAGAAAGATGGTGATAGAGTGGCTGATGACAACACAGACGATGTTCCCAGAACACACTCGTCAGAAAGAAACCTTGACACACACTGCTCAGCCATGCAGCAACAGAACGGTCCCAGCTATGTTACGACCAAGGTCCATGAAGCATGCAAGTGTGTACATGTGTGAGTGTACCGTGAATGTGAGTTTGTGTGAGCAGTGGGTTTTCATTTGTGGGTGTGCCTATGCATTTTAGAGTTAATTTGTATTTGCAGTGTGTCTATGAGAGTGTGTCTATGTTGAACATGAATACAGGGTGGCGTGGGTGTGAATGTACCGGTGGTGTGTGTCACCAGAGTGCAGTATATGTATAGCGGAGACACTCTTAGAAAAAAGGGTTCCGAAAGGGTTCTTCGGCTGACCCCATAGGAGAACCCTTTTTGGTTCCAGGTAGAACCCTTTTGTGATCCATGTAGAACCCCCTGTAAAAAGGGTTATACCTGGAACTAAAAGGGTTCTACCTGCAACCAAAAAGGGTTATTTAAATGGTTATCCTATGGGGACAGCCGAAGAACCCTTTAAGGTTCTAGATATAACCTTTTTTTCTAAGAGTGTATATCCCAGTGAAACGATAGTGTAGCATGGTGTCTCTCTGTGTGTGTGTGTGTGTGTGTGTGTGTGTCTGCCTGCCTGCCTGTCGCTGGACCTCAGTAGCACTGCCACTCAGGGTGACATACACAGGGCTGACAGCGCCCGCTTACACGTGTCACTCGACATTACCCACACACACAGTTGTGAGAGGGGGGAACGGAGCGGACCAGGGGGACCAGAGAGGAGCCAGCTTCCTGCTGCTGTCTTCCCCCTGCACACATCATTCTCCACCTTCAGTTTCCACCTTCAGTTTCCACACAGTTATAACACTACTGGAGCTGTCAGAAGGACATGGCCTCTCTGCCTTACAGAAAACCACACTGGCTTATGAAGTGTTGTTCTTGAGTGTTCTGTGTTCTCTAGGCAATATACTTAATGTTGGCATTCCATTAATGTGCACTGTTTTCTGGAGGCTCTAGTAGTCTTTAGTTATTCACTAGGGTGCTATTACACCAGTTGGGTGTAAAACAGTTGGCCTTAAATGCTAAAGTTGGATGTTCTATTGGATTATTGGGTGTCTAGGTGTTCTATATGGATATTCTCTGCCTGGATGTTTTCTGTGTGTTTTGTATTGTCTGAGCGTTTTGTGGTTGGACACGGTGACGTGAAGACCTTGGTTTTGTCTGTGTGTGTGTGGAGCAGTCAGAGCTCAGATCTCCAGGTGGATTATGGGAATGCCCACATGTTGCTACCTGCCCAGTCAGTCTGCCAGGGGCGCCACATCACCTCCTCTACCCCCCTCGTCCTGTCCTGTCCTGTCCTGTCCTGTCAGTCACCCCTATCAGGGGATGGGATCAGTCCTCTCAGCTCCATTTCCTACTGCCGCAGTGAGGGACACAACAAAAAGCCGTCACACAGTGTACATAGGCACGTAACACACACACACATACACACCATGTGTGGCAGAGAGTGATGGATGGCTGGATAGGGTGAGATATAGAGAGATGAGGAGACGTGTCGCTGCCTGTGGTCTGTGGAAGCGTCCCAAATGGCACACTATTTGCTACATAGTACACTACTTTTGACCAGGACCCAGAAGTAGTCACTATTTAGGGAATAGTGTGCCATTTGGGACATAACCGGTCTGTCAGCGTAGAGGGCATGAGGCCCAGGCAGCCAGGACAGGAGGGCACTGAGTCAAGAATCCTGGCAACAGGGGAATGAATATACACATCTAGACCACGTCTGTACTCACGTAACAATCACTGACTGACTGACTGACAGAGAGAGAGGGAACACACAGGGCAAGGACAGACAGGGAAGGAAAGGGAGGGGGGGGGGGGGGGGTGACAAGGAGAACAGGGAGAAAGAGAGGGCGGATGGATAATTGAGCATGCAGGACAGATAAGGTATCACCCACAGAGCTCACCCACACACCTCTCACTCTGTTTCATACACAGACACACAGACCAGGAGGGAGAGTGGGAAGGGCACACATGAGAGAGAGCTGCACCAAGGACAATAGCTCCATGAACGAGGGCTCTGTGTCATTCATTCTCTCTGTCTCTCTTTGTGTCTTTGCATATAAACTGTAGCTGAGGCTCGAGAGGCTTGCTTTGTGGCAGTCCTTAGACTGAATCAGCAGGGGAAAAAACACTTTTCAGAGGCTATTTCATCTTCTAGTTGTCATGGACTGTCTGAGAGAGAGAGGAGGATGAGAGGAGTAGGGGATAGACGGAGATAGAGATTGATGGACAGCATATTAAGTGGGTATTTTACTCCAGCGTGACTGTATCTTGGCGGGAGGATTATTATTTGACATGGAGCTGCCTGATAGTCCAATTTTAGTGATTGACACATGTCTGTGGTATTTGTAAAGGCTTTACCAACGTGGCTGAGATAAGTCAATCTCACAGAACGAGACAATAATGTGTGCCTGACATAGTCAGAGTGAGATGAGCGCAGTGGTGCATCTTGTATGACCCTTCCACAGTAATACACGAGATACTGTGATCATTATTGACATATTCACCCAAAATCCCATGTATTCAGTATGCAAGATGTAATCAGGCACTAGGGACCGGTTTGTCAGGCTGAGATTAGGCCTATACTCCTGGACTAAAAAGCATTCTTAATGGGGAATCTCCATTGACAGTACTATAGCCTGGTTTCATCTGGCTCCAGGAAACTGACCCTAGAAGTTATATTTCATGAAAAGGAGCGTACATATGTAGGATCTTAATTTGATCACCCTTTTGTTGCTGAGAATTTTCCTGCAAAGCAGTTTATTTGAGTTTTAAAAAGGTTTGTAATTTACACTTTGAAATGTCAGTCTTGATTTGCCCTAACAAAAAAATCTATCAACTCTTTGTGGGACAATAAAGTGAACTACTATTAGTGTTGCTCCTTAGGGCCTAGATCAGGGGTTCCCAAACTTTCTTGACCTGCGACCCCATTTTGATATTTAAAAAAATTGCGACCCCCACCATGCAAAAACAGTGATGTAATCAACGGCTAATGTTTACTTTTTTAGTTGTGGCTATGACAGTCTATTACAAATCAGTCTGACAGTACATCAAGTATGGTTTGAAGTGACTGAAATGCATCAGAACGGTATTGGGAAGTTCAGATGATCATCAGGCAATAATGTTGTATGATCTTCTGTGTAGAAAAGAACATCATCATTGATTTCCCACAGTCTGATTTAGTGGCTAGTCTTGTCCACTCTGTTCTAATGAGGCTTGTGGACATTGTAGAGAGAAACAGATGGAGTAATAATATTCAGGGGTCAGTGATGGGGTCATAATATTTTATATCTTTAAAGGTTCAAAAGATAGAGCCACATTTGTAGGAAGAAAACAGAAACCGCTCTGTTTATTACAAACGCATCTAGTGGCTACCGGAGGTTACTAATGTAACCCCGGTTCTATGAACCAAGCTAGTTTCTCTCACAGCCCCATTTTCAAACCAGGCGAACCCACATGGGGTCGCGACCCCTAGTTTGGGAAACACTGACCTAGATATAAGTCGTGTTGCTCCGGGCTGTGTGTTGACTGGTGTGTAGGTC